AATTTCTTGAGTATGCTGAACATATATAGAATCCCTTGTTGGTTCCTCATCTGAGGAACACTCTTTATACAAACCCTTACTGAGACATGCCATAAATTGGCACTGATTTCTCATTAATCCCATACAAACTATGCCTTGAAAAATTAATAGCTTGACTATATCTGAAGAATTACAACGGTTACCGGTTTCTGCATCACTAAGTCCCTGTCATACTACTTTGAATTTATAACACTCCCAAGATCTGTTCCACGAAGTGACCTTATGTTCTTATTAAAAAAAAGATAAATGCACTGGTCCCTAAAAAGGGATATATTTATATTTCATGTGAACTTGAAAATGCCCTTCAGACCTGCATTCCTGATCAGATACAGAGTACATTCACACACTGGAAGAAACTCAAACACTTCCATTTATCTCATTAACATCAAATTTAATTTTGAGGTTTAAAAATATCAAAGTCATACTGTAGGAAATTTGTGTTACAACATGAATGCTTTCAATATTAAGATCTGTTGATTTAATGTCGGAGAGATTCAGAATCACAATTAACAATTTCAACACAAATCCAACTTTATTGCCAAAAGTAAAATATCAAAGCAAAGTAAAACATATAGTTACTCCCTAGATAGTCAGACTAGTGTCACTGCAAACTGAAAGGTTCTTTTCTGACTTGGGTCAATCCACTTTCAGCAGGAATCCTCCAGCTGGAGGTCTTGCTCCTGACATCTTTTTGAATCCTGAATTTGGGTGTTTGCTAAGTGCTCAGTCCTTCTGAACCACTCAACTGGAAATCATTACTGGAACAACCAAACCAAGCAATGTTCTGATATTTGTCAGCTCACATCTGCTGCAAATTTAAACAAATCTTCAAATCTTTGTTTATGACAATAGGTTTTGCGACATTGGATTAGTTTTTATTCACCCTCACAAAAATCTATGAGTCTAACACAAGAGGTGAAAAAATCATGACTACTATAACTCATCTACCAAGCTACAACCTATAAGTGTATTGCAAAGACATGTCAAGTTGTATAAAGAATCTTTCTGCAACAGGAGTTTGCAAACAGTCAATAGAGGTGTGGAAGCTCAAACTGCAGGGAGAAATAGCAGGTCAAAAGGAGAGACTCAGCATAATTGGCTATTTTGAGGAATGCTTGATCCCTCAACAATAACATACTATCATTTTAAGCTTTTGAACGATCTTAAAAAAAAAATGAACAACAGCTGATGGGCAGAACACCAAGAATGACTGGAAAACCACCCTTGGGGGATGTTTTGACCAGAGGATCAAATACAATCTATTGAAGAAATATCAAGCAATGTGAAAGTGCCAACACCACAGAACTAGTGAAGAACAAGGAATCTTCTCGCCATCTGAAAATCTGCCGTACTGTGAAATCTACTTGTACAAGAAAACACCAACATCCAACCACAGGATGCATTGTAGCTGCTGGGTCCGATTTTAAGTTGCTTCAGCAACAAGGAACTTGAGCACAGGCTCTAAATTATACGAGAAAAGAGGAGTGTTGGTATCTAAGCCAAATCGTTCTGGCAGAGGAGAAAGCACTGCACCATGCCTTTTACCTATGCTAAATGTAAACTTTAGTGCCCCATTTGAATGATGTTTTACTCTACACATAGCCTAAATATTATCCTGCTTGCAAATCAATGGGTAGCGTTTGCATTCTTAACAATCGGCAAACTGGGACATATGTTGCACTCGAAATGGAACCTTATCCTCTTCAAAGCTTTCACTCCAATTTCTATTCAAACTCACTTATAAAATCAAATGTAAAATTTTCTCTGAATCAGTCCAAGCAGCCAACAGAATAGATACTAATTGCTTCCTTCCCTTACATTGTGAAAGGATGTATTTAAAACTGAAAATCTACTTTTGTTAGTACAGCTGAAATTTGGTTCATCACAAATAAGCATTTTCACATAGTCACTACCTGAGTAAGGTTTTAGTTAAATCATTGTAAATGACCTTTTAAACAAAAAACACCCTGAAACATTTACTAGTTTCATTGTAAACTAATTTTTTTCAATATTTTAAAATACTTTTAATGTGTGTCCAAGTACTTTATTGCCTTAAAACATTGGCCTGGATTTTACAATGGTAATAATGGTAAAATTGTTAGCATTTGCTATCATGACTCCATTGAAATCGAGAGCAACTTTGGGACTTTGCACATGCATGGAATGACATGAAAATCCAGAAGCGATTTCAGTTACTATGCTCTTTCAGAGAGTGCATTTTTGATGGTTCCTTCATTACTATGAATAGGAAACTGACAAAATGGACAAAAATGTCACTGATCTGCTAGTCCAAATGTAAAAATCTTCAATTGCAGAATGATGATGCGTGGAGGGGAGAGAGAGAAAGACAGAGAGAGAGAGAGAGAGAGAGAGATAGAAAACAGAGACAGATAGAGAACGTTTGATTTCAAACATTGTCTTTCCCCACCATTTTAATGGAAATATTACCTCCTTAAATAATTAACTAGGGAACCTGAAACATGCATATAATGTCTCAGCAGAGTTAAGAGCTAAACTTTCCGGTTGACATCTATCCTGAAGTTGTTGAAAGCCAAGTTGGACACCATCTAATCATTATTTCTGAAGACCTTTTTAATCGCCCCAGGTTTGCAAACTTGTTAATTCCGTGTGTGTGAGAACCTTTGCCCCTGAATTTCTTCCTTATATTCCTAGAAAACATCTGCAGCCTCTTCCCGGAAATTATGCCTAGGAATCTTCTCCAAGCTCAACCTTCATCAGCCAAATTGTAGGCAGAGACGAGGAGAAAACTGCATAAATGGGAATGACAGGAGGAACTTGAATAAAATTTGAGGCCAATATTTTATGCAGTTATACATATGGCAAGACAGGTATAATGCTCATGAAAATAAACAGCTGATCAGGCAGACAGTGAGTCTCTTCCTGGTGGCAGTCCACACTTTAAGTGGATCATCAACCTGATATCACTGCACCCATGCACAGGTTGATCCTAGTGCTGGTACTGACAATAAGGGAGCCATTACTCTGTCACCATTTTAATTATGCCATCATCTTGTTCGAAAATCTAGTGTTAGACATTTGTTACGAAGTCCCTAGGCATTTCTTTAGCCAACTTAACAATTTCTCTGTGTCACATGAACACAGGAACAAAGTGGTCAAATTCAGCCAGTCAAGACTGCTCCACCATTTAAATCAGATAGCTGATCTTTCTCAATACCACTTGCTATCTTGAACACTCTCAATGATGGAGTATCCACAACCCTCTGCAGGGTGGGAAGGGGGTAAAAAGAGTTCCCATTCTTGCCATCAAACTCCCTGGATGTATTTCTTATTGTAGCATACAAATTACATCCCAATCCCATATTTTCTCTCAGGACTGTCTCAGGCTGCACATGTCAAATATGCCCTATGGAAAGCTCCAACAATGAATGCGTCAATGTCAGCACTGGAAACCTGGGTTAAAAACATCTTCCTGAGTCTGCTTAGATCCTGGTTGCCAGGATCAAACTATACTTCATATTTACCGTGCCATAAAGTACAGGTTGTTTCATTATTTAAAAAGGATGTCTCAACATTTAGTTGTATTTCACCCAAACTATTACTTATCTTTTCCATTCAGAGAGAAGGGAAAAGCTGTCATGCACTACCTGTGAATACTATGATTGTTAAGGTCTCTCCTGAATATTTTCATCTCTGGTATATGGCTGGGAAATACAAAAAGCTCACAAAAGGCTTTCTACAATGTATAGAAAATAGAAAAGATTTACCCCAAGCCCATGGCATACCATCACCAAGCTAAATTAAAACTAAAACATAATAACAAATCACAAACTTTATTTTGTGGCACTGGAATCAGTTATAGTTGTGAATTACACTTGCTTAACCAGCAGCTTAAATGGAAATGAAACAGAAGTTGCTAGAAAAGCTGAGCAGATCTGGCAGCGTCTGTGAAGAAAAACTGGTGTACTTGTGCCCGATTTACAGCATCTGAAGTTCTTTCGGTTTTTATTTGCTTAAATGGAAAAGACCAGCTGCAAACAGTAGCAAGTGATTTAAATTAAAAAAAATTCCTTGTAGATTTAAGTAATCGGGCTCAGTTGCATTAATTCTCACAAAGTCACATCAGCACAATTTTCCTAAAACTAGAGATAACAAGGTGTAGAGCTGGATGAACAC